CTTCCTAGGTAAGCTCCAGTATTTCTCTTTAGTTAGACTCTTTAGTTTTTCTACTTCTTCCCTGTTGAACTCAGCAAATAGTTCTTCAGGTTCCGTAACCACTTGTTTGGTTGTATAAGCTCTGCTCTATCCTCTTGATGAACTTCCTTTTTCTGTGAGGTTCGTACTTGCTTACCGAGGCTTCCTAGGTAAGCTCCAGTATTTCTCTTTAGTGTGGCGAGGCTTCTTGCAGTAAATACACCATAAAGAGTCTTTATTCACTACTCTTGTTGCTTCTGGTCTAAACTTAAAAATTCTGCTGCTCCAGGCATGTTGGTTCCTCAGTTACAGCCCTAGTGACCAAGGCTGAACTCTCTACTTGACTGTTTTCATGCACCATCACTCCTCTTCTTCCTTCCTCGGCACAAATGATAGCAATAGTCTCATTCAGTGAGGGCAGATCTTCCTTTCCTAGGATATGGACTCTCATTCACTCATTGTGTCTCCTTAAACAGCTTCTGAACTGCTGGAATCAACTCCATCAACCATTGTTTTGTAGGACATATACCTCGCACTCTAATGGGAAGATAAGAACAGAGAAGGGCGACTTAAATACGAATAATATGACCCAAAAATCGAGTTAGAGAAACTCTGATACCATGTCAAAACAGGGAGTTTCTGTAATTCTTTCTTATATTTTTATGTAGGAAACTTACAAATTTAAATATACAAGCTACTGTCATATCTTAGGAAACTACTAAATTAGGTAAGTGACTGATTCTAGGAATAAATAAAGATCCCTAAAATTTAGGGATCCTAACTAATAAAATACATCACAAAGATCCTACCAAAATTACGTAATCTACTTAATTTAGGAATCTAATTCCTGACACATACTATCTTCTTGTTGAGAATTCTGATGCTCTCCAGTGTGTTGCGCACGCTGCTATCCCATCTCTTTATGATTTATGCCTTTCTTGTTGCCCTTTATAATGCACCACTGGATTATTAGTATTTTCAGTTTACATGCAAAGATTGTGACATTTTTTTTCTTTTTTTTATTTATTCAGAAAAATAAGAAGAAGATGGAGACTTCCCGTGATCATTTAGCAGAGGCGTTGTACCAAAAGGGACTGGCCTTGGCTGAGATTGAATCTCTAAAGGTAGTGACTGGTATCTCTCATGGTTACGTTCTAATAACTTAAAATGATATTGGTGGCCATCGATGATGCATTTTTTAACTAAGGGAAAACAAATTAACAAATGTATATAAACAGAAAAAAAAGTGAATTTGACAAGTGTGGTGCAGAGTTGAGACATGGAATAACGGAACGGAATAAAATCCATGACCACTCTCGAAAAGCTAGACTATTGATATAGCTTAGGGACTTGAGTATCTCTATGTTATCTCCCTCCTACGTACTATATCAACCAACATAAACAATCCCAAGATATGCCTCACTTTCTTCTCATATTGTGAACTAGTGAAGACATGGAGGTAAAAACAGCAGTTGGGGCAGGCTGATATATGTAATCAATGATTCAACACTTTCGTAAATCCTGCCCAAATTCTCCTGTGCTATAGTCTAAAACCTTGATGGGAATTTTGTATTTCATCCTTTTATAGCATTCTCCATGTTGAGGTTGATTATATTCTTTTACTGAAAAATGTGATGATTTCAGCACATGTATCAGTGGTGGTAGTTTTATCATCTTCATTAGATTAAATTTTGTTGGCATCACCATTTTAGGTTGAGAAAGCTTCAGACTTGTCTGCTACTGAAGGCACAAAAGACTTGGACCAAACTGGTGGCCAATCTGGTGTGGGGTCTGATATCGAATCGGATTTATTTGAGGAGAACTTTAAAGAACTGACGAAATGGGTAGATCTGAAATCCTCTAAATATGGAACCCTCTCTGTACTGCGTGAGAGACGGTGTGGAAGGCTTGGAACTGCTCTAAAGGTATGCATTTTCTCTAAGGATAATCCAAGTGACACTGTGTAGTAATTAAAGAAAAAAGTAGCAGTATGTATGCATGGACGGACCTAGAAATTTATGTTAGAGGAGTGAATTTATAAAATTCTAAAGGATGATGAACTTATAAAATTTTAGGGGGTTAAAATAGATTTTCAATTGAAAATACAAGGAAAATATCTAAAATGAATAAGAATTTAAAATTTTTAGAAGCGGCGACTGTCCCCACCCGCTCCCCTCGGTCCATCCCTAGCAGTATGTATGAGTTGAATTCCGATGATGCGGTGGTTGCAGGTGGTAAATGACATGATTCAAGATGATGGATGTGGGCCTCCAAAGAAGAAACTGTATGAGCTGAAGTTGTCTTTGCTTGATGAAATTGGATGGAGTCACATATCAACATATGAAAGACAATGGATGCATGTGCGCTTCCCCCCGAGCTTGCCCCTTTTTTAAGGTTTTCTCTATCCTAGTTTCAGTTTGATATACAAGATTCAACATTGCATCCATAGGTTTTTGTCATGATAAAATGCATCTTGTTAAGGTTTGCTCTATCCTAGTTTCAGTTTGATATACAAGATTCAACATTGCATCCATAGGTTTTTGTCATGATAAAATGCATCTTGTTTTCCATAATATTATAATATTATAGTTTTATTAATGGAAATAATTTATTTTTTATAATCTCAAAAATATATATTAAAATTTTCTATGCCATGTGTACAGGGTATAAATAAACCGAGCTTGAACAAACAAGGTTTGTTTGTCTTTGTTGATTTTTGAAGGCGTTCATGTTTTGTTCACATTCGTTTAAATTTTTAATATTTTGTTCGTGTTAATTTATTTATATTTGAAAGTGTTGTTTTGGTTCGTTTAACAATCGCAAATCACCAACATATTCGATTAGTGTTTGTCAATACTAGCGAATATGTTGGTGAAATTATGCCACTGGTTATTAAGGATATACATTTATTCATTAATTAAATGAGAGATCAGTATAAACCCATCACTTTTAAGGTTGGCGTAATTTTAAATTTTAAATTCCCGATGATCGTGTTATCGTATCGAACCCTAAATTATTCAGCAAGAAAGCCATGGAAAGCGTAATTCCATTCACTAACAACGTAAACAAACACTCTTTTCAACAGGCCACAGTCCAAACACCCAAACAAGGCATCAAGGTGAACAAAACATTTAAATGAGATCCACAAGCATTATAAACAAACACACTTCTCTATTCCTGGATATCATCCTCCTCCTCCTCTTCACCCCTCAGCTGTTGCGTCTTGGTATTGTTGGTACTCCGAAACCAAATCGTTCATGTTGCTCTCCGCCTCCGTGAACTCCATCTCATCCATTCGCTCTCCCGTGTACCAGTGCAAGAACGCCTTCCTTCGGAACATAGCCGTAAATTGCTCACAATTTACCCTAATTTATTAAAATTATGTCTAACATTTAGTTTTTATTTCATTTTAGTATCCGTTAAAAACTTAACGTTAAACTTTGAAAAACATTAAAAGTTTAGGTATTAAAAAATTAGCTGACCCTTATTCCCATATGTAATGGGGTAAGGGGGAGGCAAGATAGTAGGTTGTCCCCAACGCCAGGTTGAGAGCAGCTTCCCTAAGAGACCTTCAAATTATGAAATGTCCTCCGTTGGACTAGATTCCACGACCCCAAGGTTAAGAGCTTTGTGCTCTACCCATTAAAAGTTTAGGTACTAAAACGAACAAAAACTGATAGTTAAACATGTTAAGCTTTTGACGACGGATAGTAAAATGAAACAAGAACTATACATTAGGTATGATTTTGAAAAAATTGAAAATTTAGATACTAAAACGAATCAAAATTGATAGTTTAGGTACGAAACACATAGTTTACCCTAATTTATTATGTGCACCGTATCACGTCTAACAACCGAAAGGAAATCATCAAGATTTGCACTCTCTGTATCGAATTTCTTTAAGGTTGCTCGTGTTAGGGATAACTAAAATTTGTTTCCACTCAAAAAAGATTAAAGAAAAATTTTAATTTTGTGTTAATCAAATTGAATTATTCAAAAAAAATAATCTTTTAGGTTTATGTGACACCTTTTATTAGGTTCGAATGTCTGATCGAATAGGATATGTATATATAGAATTTTTAATAGAACCCATTTAAACAATTTTAAGTAGAATAAGAATTTGTATCGATACTTATGTAGGAATCAATCATATTTATCACATAAAGACCATATAATAATCACGCTGTCAAAGTACATTTTGTGTATTATTGCTTGAATTTTAATCTTCTAAGAAAAATAATATTTTTATCACTGAGTACTCAATGTTTTTGTGAAATAATAACATTAAAATGCCCACTTTAAAAAACTTCAAAACAAAAAAAAACATAAATGATAAACGTGATAATGTAAAAATATCACGTCAAGAACTAGTCACCATACAATTAAAGTTATGAATTCAAATAACTGAGTTTGTAGGGTGTGTATCATCAATGACCATGAAAGATCTTGAACTTGTAATTTTGATTAAAATTAAAATATTAAAAATCTAAACACTTATAATTAAATAAAAATTAAAAAATATTATGTCGTTATAGTAATCTTAACACCATACAATTGTTGTAAATACAACACTTTCTTTTACCTTTTAATGATGGCTAACAATTTTATCCATGTTACTGATAAATTTAATATTTATACATGCATTCAGTTCCTCCCCATTTTACTTGTACGTCATAAAAGTTTTAGAAAATTCAAATAAATATAAAAACCCATAAAAAGTTTAAAAAAGAAAAGAATATATATAGACCATTTTCTTTATAGTTAGATCGAGACGTTTTTAGCAGCTCCGATACATAGTAAGATCAAGCGAGTCGAATAACCAAATTGGTCCCTATCCTTTTCTAAGCACATAGACCTCAACATCTTTATTTGATTAAAACTATATTTTTCTTTAAATGAAAATCATTAATTGACTAATAATTATCGTTTGTTACCGATGTGGGATTTTCGCATGTACTTGGTCGTCGGTATCATGTCACTAAAAGAAATCAATTTCCAATGCAAAAAAGAAAGCCTAAACCTGAAAGCAAACCTACACCCTAAACTAATACAACAGCTACTAAAAACGGTTTAACCAAGTACAAGAGTTTGGACTAGAGTCACGTTCCAATAACCTTGACCTACATAAGAAGCCAAGCAAGCAACACGAAATTCTCTCATTCAATACCGTCACGATTAGTAGTTTTCTCAGTATGTAACTGTCAGGAGGTAAGCATCCATGCCAAAGTCATGTGGTAATCATGTTGAACTGGAATCTAGAAAGCTGCTGTGGAATGGTTGATATCACAGGTCCGTATCTCTGCTCAACATGAACAAACAAATTACAGACGAATAACGATCAACCATGGGCAAACTCGAAAGCAATGGCACATTGAAAACTTAAAATCAGCTGAAGGATGGATTATGGTTACCACCTACCTGAACATTATCGTAAAGCTCAAACAATGGCACCGCAAGAAGTTTCAAATTTTTCGGTACTGCAAAGTACTCTTTCTCGGACAGATGGATGAGGAAAAGCTTCTTGCACTCCTACAGTAATATCAATAATAGAGGTTGGGAAAGGATAGCAAAGCACATAAATAGTGCCACGTGAAGTAACAAAAAGATCAACAAGTACATATTACCTTAGGCTTGGTTATGTGGGGAGGACAATATGGATACATTATGGTCTCAAAGTTGGGCCTCCACCAGATGGCCACACACTCACCGATCTGCAACAAGATAACAAGGAAAGGTATTATGCATTAAAAAGTAAACGTTATAAACTATAACATAGAGAAGATCAATGAAAATTGTTAAGACAAGATGCCTACTCATTGTAGAAAGATAATTATGACAAATCAGTACCTGCCAGTCTGGTACAAGAGCAGGTGAATTAGCTCCAAGCTTGCTAGTCAGCTTCCTTTTCAAACCCTCAATCTCTGAAGCCAAAACATAAAGAGCAAAGATATTATGAAGGTCATAGAATCTCCAAAATAGCACGACGGAAAAGATATAAGGTGAAAGATAGACGACACATAACAAAAATAGTTATAAGTAAGATGATACCATTCTCTCCGCACTTCAGGCGTCCACCAGGAAGTTTGCAGAATGTGTTCCCAATTTGCAGAAGAAGAATGTGAGGATGATTATGTTCTTGGACCTGCATAAGAAGGTGGTATAGGAAATTGAAGGACAAGCATTCAAATGGTCATCTTAGAAGTCAAATTCTTGCAAACTACACAAAGAACATGATAATTGACAAGTTATAGACAAAGGAGAAAGTAACGAAAGTACAATGAGGTCAAAAGGTGGTCCTCGTGTATTATTAAGATGTAACTCCTCTTCCCTTAATGCATAATTACCTCTTAATACAATTAAGACATAGTTGCAAATATCTGCTAGGTTGAGTATTGAGTCGTATGTAAACACATATACAAGCTATCTGCCGCGTCATACAAAACTAGGGAGTGAAAACTATTACCATACATTTTTTCACAAAAGAGAACAAAGCATAAACCCTGCAAGGTTAATCCCCCTTGGTTATTAAGATGTAATAGCCAAGAACAAGTGCAGTTACATACCAGTAAAATTGCTTCAACGCTTGTCCTCATACCCTCTTTCATATAACTGCAATTAACAACCAAAAGAAGCAATCAAAAACTTGTAATCGCAGAAAGTAAGCTTTCAACGTGCTAATCTTAAAGTAACTTCCGTTTACAATTAATCATTCAAGTGGGAACTGGGAAGTACTAGTTGAAAGCCTCAACTCACTTTCTTGCATTTGATTAGGGTTTCGAAAACCAAAAGAAAAGAACAACATTTAGGCTTTAGCGGCTCAAACTTTCCCAAAATAGACAACTTTACTTCGTGTAAAATCCGAGGGAACACAATTCAAATCACGGTTCAATTAGTATATTGTTTGTACCAGATATTTGTTTTTGATCTAAACATTCCCCTTAGTTCCCAATATAGTCTAAGAAAGGTGAAGAAGCTAGGGTTTGAATCTTAGATCACCGACTGAACAAATTCCAACAATTCCAAAACAGCCAATCAAAAAAATAAGCAATTTTTTTCTAATTTTGCATTTCATGTTTCAGAAACAGAATAACACAAAGCACAAAAGGAACCCTGACATCATAAACTTCAAGCCGGCATTTTCAAGAAGGGTTTATCTTGGGTTTTTTAAAAATCTAGAAAAAATGTAATTATACAAGGAATAAGATGAAGAAAGCGATGAAATTACTTGACTCTCATGCGAGCAAGGCGATCGGCGACAGACGTGTCCTTCTCCATCTTGGGCTCTTTGGTACCAAATGTGTAGCTCGACAAAGGGTACGTGTTAACCACCGGTAACATCACCATATCTACCCCTCTGCTCCGAAATCGTTATCTTTTTCTTTTCGCCGGCGGCCGAGTACACTGATTTCAGAGACGGAGGAGGAGGTGGCAAAAGGTAAATAAATATCTTCCCGATCTTATTAATAAGATAAGCCCATTTTACCTATGCGCAGAGGGCCCATTCCATGTTTAACTTAATCCAAAATTACATTTTTATTAGCGTAAATTACGTATTTAATATTTAAACTATCAGTTTTAGTTCGTTTCAATACTTAAATTTTTAATTTTTTTAACACCATATATAAAATTTATTTTTTGTTTAATTGGTACCCCTCTATTAAAAAAATTAGTGCGTTTAGTACCTAAACTATCAATTTTAGTCGTTTTAGTATATAAACTTTCAATTTTAAAAAAAATAAACGTTAAATTTTGAACGGGATACTAAAATGAAACAAAAACTAAACTTTAGATATGGTTTTGAAAAAATTGAAAGTTTAGATTACTATAATGGATTAAAACTGATAATTTAGTTATTAACATGTCATTTAGAGTTTTTGTTGTTGATGGTTTAATTTTGATTGGATATTATAAAATTTTATTATAACAATAATTTTGTTTACTTTTTGATTAATCTAGAGTGCTTACAAGTAGTAGTATTTGTTCTATAAATTCTCAATTATTTGATTATGAACGTTCAAATACCCTGCAATCGTTGATGCTCAAACCCGAGATCTCTAAGTTGCTTGATTCCTTTAAAGTTTTATTTATAGTATCATAATTTAAAATTTCAATCTTATATGAAACCTACGTCTTAATTATATCATTTTTATGATATTTAATATATATTTATATGTTAAAATAGTCTAAAGTGATTATAAGATAGTATTTATTCATATTTTTTTAATCATTGACAAAGTTGACGCACCCGAGAAAATAACAATCTCTTTAATCATTACTGTTACTCAGATATATATATATACTTTTTAAGTAGAGAAAATGAAGGGGGGAAACAAATAAACCAAAAGTATTGTAGTTCACTGTCCAAATAAAAAAGCAGTAACACAAACCAAACCATAAATAAGAGAATAAAAAAGGGGAAAACTAAAACAAATGGTCATTAATCTTTTAGTAACTTTATGTTTCCCTATTAAAGTTTCAAAATTAATGAATTAGTCATTAATGTTATTGGTTTATAACAAACTGATCACTCAATGTTAACAACCGTTAAAGTGCTTGACGGAAGATTTATGTGGATTGTTAATCGCATTTATGGTAATGTTGACCGCCACATTGAAGAGCTTATTGTATTGACTGATCACCTTTTAACTCTAAATAAAAACTCAATCCGTAAACCTAATTTATCTCTTTTGTGGAAATTTTCTCAAATATTTTCTAGATAACAAAACATGTTTTTTTAAGCATATTTTCTCAAATAAAAAATATTTTCTCAAATTTATCATTTAAGCATATATGCTCTACTCATCAAATTCAATTCAAAATGAAAGAAAGAAAGGGTAAGAAAATGGAAACAAACCCTGCAAAATGTTGCTCAATAAATATTTGGACCAGCCAATGTTGCAAATCTAGTTTTGGTGGGTGAGTCTTCCAATAAAGTTTTTTTTGTATACACAATGACTCGAACTCGAGACATTGCTTAAGTGATATAAAACTGTTTACCATTTGAATCAACCCTAGTTGATATCATGCTTATTGTTTTACTAAGAAAACACCTTAAATACAACGAAAAGAATTAAAAAAATGAATTTTGATATGATATGAATCTTGATTTTGAACAATTAATAAAAAAAATAAAGAATAGTATAGTGTTTTACAGTTAGCTTGAGATTGAAGAAGAATAAGAGTTACAAAATATTTGATAAATTGAATAATGCAAATTAAAAAAAGAGAAAAAAATATTAGATTTAATTCAAAATTAAATAAATTAATGAGAGAGTTAGAGAAATGGATGAGAAATTGAGAACTTTATGGAATTGAAAAAATTATGGGACTCAATTATAAAGGTGAAAAGTGAGATTAAAAAAATTAAAGGCCTTAATTATAAAAGTAAAAAGTGAGAATGAAAAAAAAAATTAAAGCATTAATTATAAAAGTAAAAAGTGGGATAGAGAATTAGAGACCTCAATTATAAAGGTAAAAAGCAGGGTCGGATGTATGTGGCTTCCTAGGGGAGCCACTGCATACACATTATTTTGATAAAAATATTAAATTTAGTTTAATTTGTTAATGAAAATAGAAAAAATAAAAAAAAATTGCATACCCAAAATTTTTAGAATATGAGCATTAAAATTTTGGACCCCCATTTTTTAATTTCTAAATCCGCCACTGATAAAAAGTGAGATTAAAAAAATTAAAAGCCTCAATTATAGAAATAAAAAATAAGCTTATAAAAATTAAAAAACTTAATTATAAAGATAAAAAATTAAATTAAAAAATTAAAGATCTTATAAAAAATTGAGCCTATAAGCAATCGCTTAATGTTCTTCCCTATTAGTCAACTCTGTCAATAATACTACCACCTACGACTTGTCCTTGTTCGCCTGTTATGTATATGGTTAGACACATCGTCAAAGGTGATGCTGGAGGAGGTAAGTAGAGGTGTAACGAGTGAGTTGAATTCGAGTATTGTTGAGTTTGACTCAATTTAAAACTTTAAAATAGAGTTCGACTCAACTTAAAAACTCGCGAGTTTAAAATTTTTAAGCTCCACTCAAACTTGAAATCCCGAACTGAAGCTCGTGAGCAGCTCGAAAAGGCTCGAAATGAAAAAAAAATCTTAAACTTAACTCGATTGAAGCCTCAAACTCAAATTCGAATCTGAACCTTAAATACATGAAAAAATTTATTGTATTTTAAAAAAAAATCAACACATAAATGTTAATATTATTAATAATTTATTTTTTAAAGTATTAATATATTATATTTTTGAGTTATTCACGAGTTTTTCGAGTCGAATATCAAGTATTTCATTTTAGTTCGTTAAGAACTCAAGTCAAGTTCGAGCTCTAGTCGAGTCCATTCGATCCGAGTATTTATCGAGCCTTGACCGAATCAATTTTAAATAACTCACGATCTATCTTGTCTCATTTACAACCCTAAAGGAGATAAAGAACGAACTCAACAATGATAATATCTCGAAATGGCCATGTAAATTCACAATTGCACCAACCGAGACAGGTTGTCGAAGCGTAACATTAGTTACGTTCTTAGTCCCACTCAGGCCTACCTCGTGGCATTATAGTAATATCACTTTCACTGCCATGGATGTCGAGCTCTTTACCTTTAACTGCAACATCGCTAGTGATACTGTCGTAATCCTATTTCTGTACATCGTTATTGTTGTCACCCAGGTTAACAGGCAAAGTAAGTTTTTGGTCACCCATTAACCATTGTAACATCGTATGACTGATTTATTATAAATTGATAATATTAGTGATCAATTTGTTAATATTAAAACTTCAGTGAAGAAAACGGAAAGTTACTCAAAGATTAATGACAGATTTTTGTAGTTTACCCAAAACGTTCCTTACCAATTTCAGATTCCCACATTGCCCTTGGGGCTTACGTGGAATGCTTGATTAACTCAGACTAAGAGGTCAACGGGAAAGTCAAATAAGTCGACGGTGAAGATGACCCCAGTGCGTTTGGATCTAACCGGTATTCGAAAATGATGAAAGGGTAGAATTGGTAGAAGAAAAGCAATAAAACACATCGAAATTGAAAACCTAAAAAGGGAATTGTATTCAACTTGGAGAATCAAGAGTAGCGATCGGAAAGGTACAACCTGCCCTCCCCAATTGCTTTTTCGCTTTCTTATCTCGGTGTAGTTGAAATTTGTTCGGTGAAAATTGATTGTTATTGATTATAGGATTCAGTTAGCTCTACATTTCGTTCAATTGATTGTTATTTATCGTCTTCATCATCCTTTTGGTTATAGCTTTAATTACTTGTATGTTTCTGTACTTTATTGTTATGATTTCTTTTTCTTTATATTTAGGGATTTCTGATTGATTAGTTGTTTAATCTATGCAATCACTTTTGGTTTCCTTCTCTCTTGCCCTTAATTCATGCACTAGTCAACTGGCTTAGGCAGCGTCCATTTTGTATGTATATGAATCCTTCCTGTCCTTGTTTTTTTGTTCTTGTGAGTTTTAAGAGAGATAAACCTAAAATCTTTGGACATAATAGGGTTGACGTTCGGGAATCGGGGATCTTAGATTGACTCAACATAGCTACTTAAATTTGCTTATGAATGTAGCCCTAGGATCATGAGATATTGCTGCCAGGTTTTGTCATGATGGAGAAGCTGTTGAGAATTAGTTTATTCAGGATAATTCTATCTTCTTCTCATGGCCGCTACTAGCATGTTCTGTTATTAGGTTTGAAATGGTTGTTCTCCGGGGTTTGAGTAGCTAGGCTTTTGCCACATTTGGTGTTGTAGTTTCCTGTCTTTTTTGGTACCTAACTTCTCAACTCCTAGTGTCATCAAATCAAAACACTGTTTGCCCTTCAACACTTTCCAGTTTGGTTCTATTCTTGACGCCCTTATGCATTAATATAAAGCTAATGCCTATACAAGTGTGATTATAGCATGAATCTGTAATATCACTCTTTATTGTATGCATAATAGTTTAAATCTTTATTATTTATATCTTAAAGTTTCGCCAAGTGATTATGATAATTTTTCAGTGGATCAGGACTACTAGGAGCTTGCTGTGGCACTCTCTAGACTCTTCCCGATGAAGTACTTCTGAATATCTTCCTTGTTCTTTATTTGGTTTCCTTTTATTTTTATTTTGGAAGGAAATTATTATGGTTACCTTATCATATTCAAATGTATTTATTTCATTATTCTTATAGCGTATAATAAGAACTTGTTACTATATTTGAAGTTTTCTTCTATTTTTCTAGATAACCTAATTTCTGAATCTGATGGCCAACCAAAAAGAAAAACAATCTAACTTATTCAACTTCATCACTTAGCTTTTATTCACCCCATTAGGTTTTAGCTATTTTGTTCTAGACTTGTCTTTGTTAGTATAGTAACCTTGCTGAATGTGCATTTTAATATGATCCGGTTTTTGAGAAAATCAGT